ATTCAAGACTCAACATTCAACTCTTAACATATCCAATAATGATGAGTACATGGGGTATTTATAGGTGCATAAAATAAATCTAAGCCTAAATAAACTAGATCTCCTAAATATTACAGTAATAGAAATTCTAATACTAGAAAGCAATAAAATCCTATTACTACCAAAATACTAATGTTTGGCTTGCACACCAAGCAATTCTAGAACCTCCAAACTCTCGCAATCAATCTCTCGGCCGCCTTTTATATGCGTCGCGTCTTTATGCGCACCGCCCTCGGCATTTGCCTACTCCTCCTCGCACGAGGTATCGTGCGTGCTTGCATCCCACGCGTCGCCCTTTGCGCACGCTTCGTCCACGCTGACTTCCTCCTGCGCGTGCGTATCCTCGTGTGCATCGCCTAATCCTGCCATGTCTGGGACACCGTCCGCGTCGTCCCACTCGCGCGCCATCGCGCACGCCCTGCCCTCGCCGATCTCCTCGCGCGCGTTGTGTCGCGTGCCCCCGTGCTGTTCACTTGCGCGCCCTTCGTGCCCCGTCCATTCTACGCGTGATGCCCGCGCGTCCCGGCTACTGCCCCGCTTCAATCCTCTATCGTGCATCCCCGTGTGTAACACCCCGCCTTATCGTAAAATCAGAGTACGAAAATTTCGCAAAGTTATTTTAATAATAAAATCTTTTACTTTGCGAAAACTGATTCGGGGTGCTACCGTAAAACGTAACTTATTTTGGAAAACCGTTATCTAAATTTTTAATAAAATCTTATGATTACTGAAAGCATAAGTTTTCCCAAAAGTCCGGTCAAAACATAAGTTCATCAAAAACCATCATCAGCGGAAACGTAAATCGTCATAATATATATACAGTCAAAACATAAAAGTCCTGAAGCCTTCGTCATCTCACGCTCCCAGCCCGACATCTTGACCTGAAAAACATGATAAAAGTGGGAAAATGAGCACTATGGCACTGTGCTCCGTGGAAACTCATACTAATGTAAACATTGAAAATAATAACAACATCATGATCTTGGCATATACATAACCTCAACATGAAACCGGTAATAACATGAACATGAATCTGATATCATCACGCCAACGTAACCCTGACCGTTACCTCATTTGCCGGCAAAGACTAATGCCGGACACCATATGCACACTCTAGTGGGCAGACTAGGGCCACTAGAACCCAGAATGGATCGACGACCATTCCGAGCGGATACATGACATGAAATACATACCTCAAACATGGTACCGTAATTATAATCAATGTAGTACTTAGTCTGAGTCCCCACCTGATCCGTGAAAATAAAGGCAGTGCTGATACTCGTGACCTGATCAAACTGAAATATAATATAAACAATTACTAATGACTATGCTCAGATTGTTAACTTAACTGATTAATTTCTTTAAGATGCTATATGGAACCTGACATGATATTTAGACTTAACCGGCATAACTGGAACTGAACTGACATGAACTGATCGGACATGAACTTATTGAACTGAAATTATCCCGGAATATTAACTGAAAATACCATTAAAATCAGGAACCGGGCTGAAATCCTAACATACTGACCGAACCGTTTTAAAAATGGGACTGAACCGGTCCAGCCGATCTGAACTGGTCTAGACCGGACTGCTGGTCGGCTGAACTGGGCAGTCGGCGTCGGCCCGGCCAGTAGCTTGCCGCGTGCTGCGCGCATGGGCGCTGCCTGGCTGGCTGCGGGTACTGGACAGTCGTCCCAGGCACGACTGGGCGTGCTGGGTACGTGCGGCGTGCCTGATGACGGATCGATCTTCTGTCTATACGATGGTTGCGAATAAACGGCGCACTGCGGCCTTCGTTATCCCCGATAGACGTGTCTAACAGACGCATTGCGGCCTTCTCCTAGATACCGTGACTTCAAGACGCACTAATAGCCTTCTCTCCGACACTGTATGTAAACACGCACTAATGGCCTTGTTTATCACACGTTAAGAACATCAGTTCCCCCTCAAGATTGGCTCACCAATTCAATACTTCATTCAACTTGTCTAAAATATGATGAGGTACATGGGGTATTTATAGATACCAACTATCTCTAATTCTAATCTTACTAGGAAACTAATAAAACAATTAAATATTGAATCATAAGGCTAGTAAATATCTTACTACCATAAATTCCTAAATCTACTAGATCTCCTAATGTCTTGACTTGCTATCCAATTCCTTGCCTTGCACTCCACACCATTCTAGAAGCTCCTTGCTTCCAACCCTTCACCGCCTCACACGCCTCGCGTGTGCTGACTTGCACGTCGCCTACTCCTAGTGCTGCTAGGCATCGCGCGCCTTGCCTTGCACGCACGCGCGTACCGCCCCGCTCGCCTAGTCCTTCGATGACTAGGTCTCGCGCGCCTGCTGCGCCACTCCTATTCCTTGTAGGACCATGCCTCGAGCCCATATCCACCATTCCTATTCCTACTAGGAATAGGTTCTCGGTTACCTTTCCTGATCTTCCGAGGATTACTCCCGTCACCGATCTCCCACGTGCGTTCCGACACTCAATTGCTTTTCCTACTCCTGCGAGGATTAGTATTTGCGCCTTGCCTATTCCTACGAGGATTAGGCTTGCTGCCATATTCTTGCCTTGTGCCTCGTGCGTGCCGTCGTGCGCCCCGCACTCGTCGTCCAGCACCCTATGCCTACGCAGTTTAGGACATCGCCCGCATCTGTGCTCCACTCGCGCTCCACCGCGCGCACCCTGCTATCGCTGGCCTCCTTGCGCGCGTGCTTACCGCTTCCCCTTACTCCTATGCCCGTGCGGTCTCGGACGCCCGTGTTACTTCCAGTCGCGTGCCCAGCGCGCTTCGCGCCTATACGGCCTATCGCCCGCGCGCACCCGCTTGTGCCCAGCGCCCGTGCGCGCTTACGTGTACTTAGCGCCCGATACGCACTCGTCCATTCGCCTCGCATACGAGCTCGCACCCGTCTCTTAGGCCATGCATGCGTCGTTTTGGCCCTTTTTCCAGCCTCATTGGGTCGTCTCGCCTCTTGGATCTTCTTGTCATCGGGGCTCGGAACCCACTTCCGCATCATTCCCGCCCCCTTTGAGAATGTCCTTGTCCTCAACGACTCATCCTCGACCATCCAAACCTTGGGCACTCTTTCTTCGATCTCGAGACCCTTGCGCATATTGCACTCATGGTCCTCGTCAATTTCGACCAAGCCCACACTCTCGACATTGAAATCCCTGTCCTCCACGTGCGTCTCCTTGCCAAGGCCCTCTTCGACCACGTTTACCTCGACCTCGGTGTTCACGACTACTTCGACTCCTTCGGCCTTGACATCTTCGATCTCGACGGAGACCTCACCCTTGTCATCAACTGCGCGCTCGATCGCACCACCAATCACCTCGGCTTGTTGCTCTTCCTCCCTGATCTTGAGTTGTCTTTCATACTCCTCCTTTTGCTCGTACCTCTCCTCCAAATAATCTTGCTCCCAAGGGGTTAATTCCCTCTCCAATCCTTCCAGATATTCAAGATCCTCTTGATCCCACTCATCTATTGGCTCGAACATCATGATTCTCCCCTTTTTTTTTTTTACTCTAAAATTCGAAAATATAGGGAAAAATTCAAAAAATCGAACCCCCAACAAGACTCAAAAAATCGAAAGAAATTCGGCCCCTCAACAAAAGGTAATAACCGAACAAAAAATCAATCACAGGACTAACAAGATGACACTTTTTTTTAATGAAAAATTCGAAATAAATTCAAAAATTTCGACCCCAAAAAAGAAGAGAAATTCGGCCCCTCAGCAAAAGGCAAACCGAAAAAATAAAAAGATAAGATAGACAAAAAATCGATCAGCACCTCTCAATGAAAGCACCAATGATGACGGATCGATCTTCTGTCTATACGATGGTTGCGAATAAACGGCGCACTGCGGCCTTCGTTTATCCACGATAGACGTGTCTAACAGACGCACTGCGGCCTTCTCCTAGACACCGTGACTTCAAGACGCACTAATGGCCTTCTCTCCGACACTGTATGTAAACACGCACTAATGGCCTTGTTTATCACACGTTAAGAACATCAGTTCCCCCTCAAGATTGGCTCACCAATTCAATACTTCATTCAACTTGTCTAAAATATGATGAGGTACATGGGGTATTTATAGATACCAACTATCTCTAATTCTAATCTTACTAGGAAACTAATAAAACAATTAAATATTAAATCCTAAGGCTAGTAAATATCCTACTACCATAAATTCCTAAATCTACTAGATCTCCTAATGTCTTGACTTGCTATCCAATTCCTTGCCTTGCACTCCACACCATTCTTGAAGCTCCTTGCGTCCAACCCTTCACCGCTTCACACGCCTCGCGTGTGCCGACTTGCACGTCGCCTACTCCTAGTGCTGCTAGGCATCGCGCGCCTTGCCTTGCACGCACGCGCGTACCGCCCCGCTCGCCTAGTCCTTCGATGACTAGGTCTCGCGCGCCTGCTGCGCCACTCCTATTCTTTGTAGGACCATGCCTCGAGCCCATATCCACCATTCCTATTCCTACTAGGAATAGGTTCTCGGTTACATTTCCTGATCTTCCGAGGATTACTCCTGTCACCGATCTCCCACGTGCGTTCTGACACTTAATTGCTTTTCCTACTCCTGCGAGGATTAGTATTTGCGCCTTGCCTATTTCTACGAGGATTAGGCTTGCCGCCATATTCTTGCCTTGTGCCTCGTGCGTGCCGTCGTGCGCCCCGCACTCGTCGTCCAGCACCCCTATGCCTACGCGGTTTAGGACATCGCCCGCATCCGTGCTCCACTCGTGTTCTACCGTGCGCACCCTGCTATCACTGGCCTCCTTGCGCGCGTGCTTACCGCTTCCCCTTACTCCTATGTCCGTGCGGTCTCGGACGCCCGTGTTACTTCCAGTCGCGCGCCCAGCGCGCTTCGCGCCTATACGGCCTATCGCCCGCGCGCACCCGCTTGTGCCCAGCGCCCGTGCGCGCTTACGCGTACTTAGCGCCCGATACGCACTCGTCCATTCGCCTCGCATACGAGCTCGCACCCGTCTCTTAGGCCATGCATGCGTCGTTTTGGCCCTTTTTCCAGCCTCATTGGGTCGTCTCGCCTCTTGGATCTTCTTGTCATCGGGGCTCGGAACCCACTTCCGCATCAGTGCCGCTGGACGCGTAACTGACTGGCAGAACGCGTGCGTGCGTCGGGCGCATCGCAGCGTCGACCTGAGCACTGCCCCGCGCTATGTGCGCGGGCACAGTGATGACGGATCGATCTTCTGTCTATACGATGGTTGCGAATAAACGGCGCACTGCGGCCTTCGTTTATCCCCAATAGGTGTATCTAACAGACGCACTACGGCCTTCTCCTAGACACCGTGACTTCAAGACGCACTAATGGCCTTCTCTCCGACACTGTATGTAAACACGCACTAATGGCCTTGTTTGACACACGTTAAGAACATAAAGTTCCCCCTCAAGATTGGCTCACCAATTCAATACTTCATTCAACTTGTAAAATATGATGAGGTACATGGGGTATTTATAGATGCCAACTACCTCTAATGCTAATCTTACTAGGAAACTATTAAAACAATAAAATATTAAATCCTAAGGCTAGTAAATATCCTACTACCATAAATTCCTAAATCTACTAGATCTCCTAATGTCTTGACTTGCTATCCAATTCCTTGCCTTGCACTCCACACCATTCTTGAAGCTCCTTGCGTCCAACCCTTCACCGCTTCACACGCCTCGCGTGTGCCGACTTGCACGTCGCCTACTCCTAGTGCTGCTAGGCATCGCGCGCCTTGCCTTGCACGCACGCGCGTACCGCCCCGCTCGCCTAGTCCTTCGTTGACTAGGTCTCGCGTGCCTGCTGCGCCACTCCTATTCCTTGTAGGACCATGCCTCGAGCCCATATCCACCATTCCTATTCCTACTAGGAATAGGATCCCGGTTACGTTTCCTGATCTTCCAAGGATTACTCCCGTCACCGATCTTTCACGCGCGTTTCGGCACTCAACTTCTTTTCCTATTCCTGCGAGGATTAGTATTCGCGCCTTGCCTATTCCTACGAGGATTAGGCTTGCCTGCTTGTTCTCGCATTGTGCCTCACACGTGTCGCCTTGCGCCCCGCGCTCGTCGTCCGGCACGCCCAATGCCCGCGCATCGTCCATCGCTCTATGCGCGCCCATCCCACCTGCGCGTGCACATCGTACCCTTGCCATGCCTAGTCCCGCGAGGACTAGGTCTCGTGCGTCCGCTGGACACTTGCGCGCTACTGCGCGCACCCTGCTATCGTTGGCCTCCTTGCGCGCGTGCTTACCGCTGCCCCTGACTCCTATGCCCGTGCGGTCTCGGATGCCCGTGTTACTTCTAGTCGCGCACCCAGCG